GAAAAAATTCAAGCTTCTATGGGCAAAATACTGAATGATGTAGGAAGCATCAAAAAAAGACAGAAATAGTACACAGAGTCACTGTACCAAAAAGAATTGGCCAATGTTAAACTATTTCAGGAGGTAGCATATGGTCAAGAACAAATGGTATCGATGGAAGAAGCCTAAGGGCTGGAGGTGCTTACTCATTTATGCCAAGAAACTTTGAAGACAGCTACCTGGTCAACTGATGGGAAGGGCTCAATATTTGTGCCCATTCCAAAAATAAGTAATCCAACAAAATGTGGAAATTATTAAACAGTGTCATTAATATCACAACCAAGTAAAATTTTGCTGAAGATAATTCAAAAACTGTTGCAACAATATTTTGACAGGGGACTTTCAGAAATTCAAGCTGGATTTAGAAGAGGATGTGGAACAAGGGATGTCAATGCGGATCTCAGATGGATCTTGGGTGAAAGCAAAGAATACCAGAAAGATATCTGTATTTTATCGATCATGCAAAGGCATTTTACTGTGTGGATCATAAATTATGGATAACATTGCAAAGAATGGGATTCCAGAACACTTAACCGTGCTCATGAGGAACCTGTAGGTAGACCAGGAGGCTGTGGTTCGAACAGAACAAGGGGGTATTGCATGGTTTAAAATCAGGAAGGGTGTGCATCAGGGTTGTATCCTTTCACCATACTTATTCAATCTGTATGCTGAGCAAATAATCTGAGAAGCTGGACTGTATGAAGAATAATGCACCATCAGGATTGGAGGAAGACTAATTAACAATCTGTGATATGCAGATGACACAACCTTGCTTGCTGAAAGTGAAGATGACTTGAGGTATTTACTGATAAAGATCAAAGACTACAGTCTGCAGTAAGGATTATACTTCAACATAAAACAAAAATCCTCACAAATGGACCAGTAAGCCACATCACAATAAATGGAAAAAAGACTGAAGTTGTCAAAGATTTCCTTTTACTTGGATCCACAATCAACACCCATGGAAGGAGCAGTCAAGAAATTAGACATTGTATTGTGCTGGGCAAATGCACTACAAAACACCCCTTTATAGAGTTCAGTGAAGATGTCATTTTGAAGACTAAGGTGTGCCTAACCCAAGCAATGTTATTTTTAATTGCCTCATATGCATGTGAAAGCTGGGCACTGAAGAATGAAGAGTTGATGCCTTTGAATTGTGGCGCTGGTGAAGAACACTGAAAATACCACGGACAGTCAGAGAACAAAAAAAATCTGTCTTGGAAGAAGGGTAGCAGGAATGCTCCTTGGAAGCGAAAACAGCCACATTTTTTCTCACCTACTTTGGTCACGCTGTCAGAAGGGTCCATTCCCTGGAGAAGGATATCATGCTTGGTAAAGCTGAAGGTCAATGAAAAAGGGGAAAGTCCTCAATGAGATGGATTGACACAGTGGCTGCAACATGTGGCTCAAGATACCAAGGACTATAAGGGTGGCACAGTAGTGTTTTGTTCTGTTGTACACAGGGATTGTATAAGTCAAAGCCAACTATATATTTATTTTGAGGGAGCTATTTTGAGAATATACTAATGTCCCATTTCTCCCCAAACTTTAACCTACTAGTCACCCACTGGTAGATTTAGCCTCCAGCAATGATTACTGGTATTCTAACGGTTATTTTTTATTTCCTTCATTTCTTTCTTCCTCACCTGCTTATTTGTATTAGTACAGGCTTAAAGATACTTCTTTTATTCTGTCAGTTATAATCCAATACTTGTTGTTATGTGCCGTCGAGTCGGCCCCGACTCATAGCGACCCCTCCTTGGGTTTCTGAGGCAGTATCACTACGGAAGTAGGATTGCCCAACCTT